CCATACTATTTTCTGATTGAACAAAATTGATGTGCTGGAGTTCTACTTTTTTTTTTTTAAAAAAGCTTTTTGATTTTAACCAGATTAGACAATTTAGTAAGGAAAATCCTGGTTTGAATTGCTTTTGCAGGTCAGATGATGCGTCGCAATGGAACACTAAATGACACACCAAGGGTTGAATATTATCATGCTTACATTGGGAGCTTGCTTGATGCTCTGAGGTGAGCCTTTTCGATTCCATGTTAGATTCGTGAAATACAGGACAAGAAGAATTTCACGAGATCTTTTATTCTTCTAGTTTTTTTCCATTTAAGGTTGAATTTGAAAACTTTGAATGAATAAATGTGTTTTCTTTCAACGGTTTAAGCTTTTAAATAAGGTGATTAATACAAGGGGCGCCAACTGTCTAAGCAAAACTAATTGTTCCCTGACCTTTACAAACTTCCATCTTTATAATCTCTGTATCCGTGTTTGTAAACTTCAATATCTTCCCCCCACTGCCGGTATCTTTACCGAGTGCCGGCACTTTGTTCTTGTAACTTGCTAAGTGCTGCTCTGCTTCAAGTTCTTTGAACTCACATATACAACTATCCGGATATTTTTTTATAATTGATTTAAAAGAGTAAATATCAAGTTGATTCTGGTAAGATTTTTGTGCCTCTGATTGTGGTTTCTCTTATTCTCAATTTTCATTCTGGAATACTTGAAGGAATGGATCAAACGTAAAAGGGTACTTTGCATGGACCTTCTTAGACTGTCTCGAGTTAACGGTTGGCTATACGCTTTCCTTCGGCTTTTACTACGTAGATTTGGATGACAAAGACCTGAAAAGATATCAAAAGCTTTCAGCGCGCTGGTATGCCAGTTTTTTGAAGGGGAAAACCATGTCAAATTCAATTATTGATGTTGGAAAAGGCACATCTGTTCCTATGAGATACCAATACTCTCAGTAAATTTTAGTTCATATTCCCCTTTGAAGCAGAAGTTGAGCATTGTTATGTTTTAATTCATCTTATGTACTACTTAACACTTATCTGAAAGGTGAACGTATTATCAAACTTCATATTCTGGTCTCTGCTACACGCAGTGTTGTTTTTTATGAGACTCCTCATAGTTTCTTGACTAGTAGAAAGTGGAAGAATCTTAGAAAAATATCGAACCTTTTTTACATTCCTATGTTCCATCTTTCTTCCATCCCCTCTAACCATCTCCGAGTCGAGAGTTCTTGGGGTCCCGACTCCCGAGTAGCTCGTTGAGACCTCTCAATGAGCTACCCAAGCAAGAAAGGGAAAGGGTAGCAGAGGCTTATCTCGAACATAAAATTGATATTCATGTCATAAAAAACCAAGTGATATATTTCAAATGGACTATTGTGACAAGTGCTTTTGAAAGAATTGTCAACACGTTCAAGTATTATCTGAAAAAATAAGATTCGCGTAGCTTATAGTCTATTGGCTTATCTAGTAATGCAAATTAGATATTGCTAGCCAATTAAAGATAATAAAAAATTATGTATTCATATTTAACTCGATGTATCAAATATATATTATTTATTTTAAGTGGAAACCCTGTTTCGAAGTCAAAATTTTAAAGTGATGTGTTATCTATTATCAAATGGAAATTGAATATTGATCTTTCTTTATAAGGTTTGAATAATTATCAGTTGAGTATTACACCACAAATGGTTCCACTAACCTTCTTGTTGGATAATTTTCTTCCTACACTGAAATTGCCATCATGAAGTCTATAAAATTTTACACAGAGACACACACTTTGATGAGCCTTTTCAACAACCCAACAAGCCTCTCCATCGTCCATTTTAGTACTCATTTTTTGGGTCATTATTTTTGTTCAATAAGTGCTCGTGGTGGCTTTGATTTTAATAATACTACTATCGATGGTTGAAAGCAATAGTTTCTTTCAAGAATATAACGTTGGGGGAAAAAAACTATGTTGAGTATTCATGCAATTGATCAACTGGATAGACATCTGACAAGATGTAAAATAGATGGAGAGATCGTAAAATACAGTCCCGTAATAATTCTCTTTAAATTTGTGCAATTATGGATATCAACTCATGTAGTAAGATGTAATGATAGAAAATGCGCAATTTTAACATTATATCATTGGTCAAGAATTAGGGTGCCAATTGGCATGCGCGATTTGTCGATAGTTTATGTTCAGTTCATGAGAAGCTAGTTGAAAGATGGCTGAGCAGCAAGCGGTCCCAACCTTTTCATTCTTTTGCGCGTTTTCATCACCGATAACTTTTTAACAAATAATTTTCTTTTTTCTAATTTATATATATTTCACGTGATTCTTGATTAAAATATGTTATATCCTTTATGTGAATATATTTATGATATCAATATCTTAAATACTCAATTCGATCAAATTGTTGGAAATATAACTGAAACACTTTAAAGTTCCCACTACTTTTTAATATAAAAATAAAGTCGAAGTAGGATAAAACTTTAACCCTTTTATTGGTTGTCGATACAAAGACGACTCTTTCATACTAATAAAATTAATTCACTAGACGAGATAAGAAATTTTAATTCAAGCACTTCCAAAAGCAAGCATATTCTTTAGAGAAACGTGTGGAAAAGCCTAACATAAGTTGATAGACTCTGATTACTTATTGCAGCAGCACTTATGGTGAAATAATAAATTAATAATACATAATTATATTAAAATATACACTGCCTCGGTTGATTCTCATTCTTATAAGAATGAGAATGAAAAATATAGCCATTACGGAACCCACATAAGAGAGAGAAAGTCAAATATAGTGACTTGATGTGATAGATAACGATCATATTTTTCATTTTTTGGGCCAAAGAATTAGAAACAAACTAGGCATGATCAGCCAACGATTCTTTTACCACATTATTCCTTTTTTTTTCCTTAAAAAAAGATTTAGAAAAAACTAATCCAACAAAATCAGACTTGATTTCTATAAATTTAAAGCTGATAATATGAAATATATTTTGTTATTTCATTCTGTTCTAATTAAAATTTGTTCCATCAAAAGGTCAATAGCTTGGTAAAGGTTCATGAGCGAAAATTATAAAGATGAATACAATATAAGTGTTTGTTTGTTTAAAATTATTTTTCTTCAAAATCATTTTCAATCACCCATTATAAGAAATTCATGAATTTTTCTTACTTCATAACCATATATTTTCCCCAAACAAAAAAATAAAAAGCATTTTTCAATTCAAAATACAAAGTCAACCCACATAAATATAAAGTAAAATCCAATAGGTAAAGAAAGTCGTATTTTCCTCTCAAATTCAAAATATATCCCTAATGTTGATTATTGAATATTCCATGATGGTTGAAGAGAACAGTTTCTAATTTATTCATTTTTTTCGAACAACAACATTAAAATTTATATTAAAAGATGCGACCTTCTTTGTTTCATTTTACAACTTGACGATGAAAATTGGAAAATATTAACTTTGTTTCGGACAAAATTAATATAAAATGCAATAAAAAATAGTTGGCAACAACAACATTGAAATTTATATTAAAAGATGCGACCTTCTTTGTTTCATTTTACAACTTGACGATGAAAATTGGAAAATATTAACTTTGTTTCGGACAAAATTAATATAAAATGCAATAAAAAAATATAGATGTTTACTAATTTTTTTGGGCTCAGCTTCAGATGGTCTAAAATCTTTCAAAACCAATGTAATTAATTTTGCCCTTATTTGATGAAAATTAAAATTAGATTTTTAGTAGATTTTGATAAAAGTTTTGAAATGTGTGGTTGAAAAATTATGGAACCCATGAAATATATGGTTAAAATTAATTGTTTGACTTTGACTTTGATTAAAATATGATTTAAATTAGTATCAATATGGCCTTTAACCGATTCTCTCAAGCCACCAAATTGACGGGTTTTGACATTTTCTCATATTTTCTTAAGTTAAAAAAATTTATTATAATTAAAAAATTACTTATAAATAAAGAAATGTTGGTAAAGTAAAAATACTACTAATATGATAAAAAATTCACTTATAAAATATAAAAAGTTACTTAAAAGTAAAAAAAAGATTCAATTAAAATTACTTAAATGTATAAAATTTACTTTTACGTGGAAAAAAATACTAACCTAAAATTTTAAGTAAATATTTGACTTTATTTAATTTTTAAAGTTATAATATTAATTTTATATGTAAAAAAAGTACTTATAAGTAAAATATCACTTGTGAGTAAAAAATTTCATACAAAAAACTAAAAATTATAATTGTCATCAAGGGACATATATGTAATTTTAATTTTAAATTTGCTTTAAAATCGGTGGATAATTAACTCTCAAATAAAGTTTGGACAATTTCAAAAATTGTTACTAATACTACTCAAAATCGATTTTTTAAAGAACATTTTATAATTAGTACCCATTAAACTCCAATGGGCAATTTTCCATTGTTAGGCACGAACATATGGTATTTATTATCAATGAGAATCATCATTACACTATTGTAATCACTAACAACAATGCTATGGTGGCAGAATTTATTGACATAATGGATGACAGATACTCACTTGCGCATGGCCCACTTCTTTATTGAACTTTTTTATTCATGCGTGGCCCACGTATTTTTGAGAAGATGTCAACCATTATATCAAAAAAATTCTGATAAAGTAGCTAAATTGAATCGATGATGACAAATAAGGTTAGTCTAAACGCATCCACAAAAGCTTTGTATTATGAGAAAATTCCAATTTATTACTAATAAGATATTTTGTGGGATTAAAATTAGATTTTTTAGTAAATTGAGGTAAAAGTTTTTGAAACATGTGATTAAAAAATTATGAGATCCATAAATAATATTAATATGAATTGTTTGATTTTGACTTAAAAATCAAAATCAAATTTTAATGCAAACCAAACATATACTAAACGCTCAACTACAAACCATTTGCCGTGAACTTCTCTAGAAAGCAACATAAAATGACTTTTTCTGGCTTACGCTTTAGACGTGTCATCAGCATCAGGTGCCATTTAAGCCGTATTTGACCGGTGAGAGGAGAGAGATTGCCGTTCTGGGAGATATATAAAGAAATACAAATCGTATTCACACACCGAATCTCAAGGGTTTTCATTATCGGTGAAAAAAAGGAGGTTTTTGAGAGAGTTGTGTGTTATGAGGGGAAGGAATATAGAAAAATGAAGTTTTGCAAGAAATATGAAGAGTACATGCAAGGGCAGAGGCACGAGAAACTGCCTGAGGTTGGTTTCAAAAAGCTCAAAAAAATCTTGAAAAGATGCAGGAAAGAGGTTCATTCACATGGTGTGGGGATTCCTCAAGACACCTCCACTTGCCCACAGCACTGCCCAGGTGCTTATATACTCACTTGTGCATTTATATCTGATTTTGATGATTTTGGGCTTTGGGAGAGTGGTTATATGCTGATTTTTTTAGGGTCTTGATTGTTGATTCATTTACTGCATTGGGTTCCTCATGGCAGATTCTTATATAGAGTGACTCGTGTATGTAAATATTCCCATCTGATTTTCATGATTTTGGGTTTTTGGAGGAGTGATTATACGCTGATATGCTGATTTGTTATTAGGTCTTTATGTATAGGCACTTCAGACTTGTGTATGTATAAAAATTCCTGTCTGATTTTCATGATTTTTGATTTTTGGAGGAATTATTGTATGCTGATTTGTTATTGGGTCTTTATGCATAGGCAGTTGTCTCTATACATGCCTATCCGTTTTCGTGATTTTTGGAGGAGTGATTATAAGCTTATATTTTATTGAGTCTTGAATTCCTTCATCCAGGGCATAGCGGTTCCCTTCCCCATAACAGGTGTTTATATATATTAGTCTATGTGTCTATATAAATTATATATATGCCAATCTGATTTTCATGTTTTTGGCTTTTGGAGAACTGATAATATGATCATTTGCTATTGGGTCTTGAATTCTTGATTCTTCCGTGTGGGTGGCTTTTGTTTCTGGTATTTCCATTGTATGAAAAGTCTTGAGATTTCGATTTTTCCAACAAATTATTCTGGTAATGTAGTTCTGGCCAAATTAAGGGGCTGCCGATATTTAAATCTTTGTGAAGAGAGTCGTCATTGATTTCTAGCTATTTCTTCAAACACTCGAGAAGCTTGGATGATGAATATTGTTCAAGATTAGGATTTTCAGGTTGATTGATATTGGACATATCCTTAAAAGAAGAAAATCTTGCATGATGATCAAAAGAAGTTTTATTTCTAATTTATTTCCATAGGATTCTGTCGAGTAATTCATAATCCAATTTTGCTACATCAAAATTCAAAAATTAAATAAATAAAATAGAGCTCACTCCGTTCCAAATAAAGACCACCTTTTCACAAACTGCAAAGTTAGTAGAGAAAGAACTACATGTTTGAGTTTCCGAAATGGAAAAATCCAGTACGGAAACTGGAAGAACGGGTGGGGGGTTTCTTATGATAAACTTCATTAGTATGCGGTTCTTAGTTGGGAGCAAATCTGTGTATAATTGCAGGCAATATAGAAAGCACGACAGAAAATGGACACTTTTGCTGGTACTTGTATATAATCCTTCACTCCTTTGTATGCCACTGTTTAATCTTGAAGCCTTGTTGAATCCCTTGTTCAGTAACCTATAAAATTTCCGAGTTGCAGTAAACATTAATCCGAATTTGACTTGAAGCATCTAATTCATACGATGCCCTCCTCATTATTTTGATTTAGATTCTTGTCTATTTTTCAGTCTGCGATGGGACCTTTTTCTCTTCACTTTGTAAGGAAATGTCTGATGTGGTTGGCTCCTTCAACCAACGCGCGCAGAGATTGCTTGAGGTGCACCTGGCATCAGGTTTTCGCGGGTTCTTTATCTGGTTGAAGGGTAAATCACATGGAAATCACGCAGCACTGGTTCAAGAAGGCCGGGACCTGGTCACATATGCTCTCATTAACGCCGTTGCTATGCGTAAAATACTGAAGAAATATGATAAGGTACTCTTGTTAATACTCTAGGTCGAGCACAAGCACAAAATACTCTCCATTCATTACACATCATTAAAAATTGTCTTTTTTGAATATAGATTCACTGCTCTAAGCAAGGTCTAGCATTCAAGTCTCAAGCCCAAAGTAAGCGTATTGAGATCCTTCAATCTCCATGGCTGTGTGAGCTTATGGCTTTTCACATAAACTTGAGAGAGACTAATTCGTATGCAAAAAAGGTTCCTGCATTTTTTGAAGGGTGTTCTCTCATACTGAATGATGGAAAACCATCTCTCTCTTGTGATCTCTTTGATTCAATCAAGCTCGACATTGACTTGACTTGTTCTATATGTTTGGTTAGTGCCCCTATCTTGCCCTAAAGTACTGCTAGTCACATGGTTTTATTTTCTTCGTTCCTTTTATTTTGGGGTCAGGTGCCCCATCTTTTAATCTGTATCACTTGAATGCACAATTGTTTTGGTTTTACACTGATGCTAGGTGGTATGAGTCTATCGTGTAAACATTAACAAACTCTATCAATAATAGCTAAATGAGGTTATATTGTCGGTGGTCCATACAAGCTTTATGTGGTGGCCTGTCGAGGAGAGAAAATTATTCAAGGGTTATATTAAGTTTCGAAAGAAATACAAGATTGCACAGTGAACTTGAGAAGAGAAAAAAAAGATAATAACCCCAAAGGCCTATTCTTTGCCAGTCGACAGGTCCATGTGGACCGTGGCCCATGGGCCTCAGAACGTTGTCCCGGACTGTCCTGCTGGTGGAATGGCTCCCTTACGCCCCCTAAACTGATGCTTCAAAGAACATTATATGCCAAGAATTTTGAAGAATTCCTCAAAAGAACTGAAAATTTTGCAAGTGATGCATCTTTGTAGATGAGTAGAATGATATAACACTAATATTTGATCTTCACAAAGATATGGGAACAGCTTTTACATTTGCACAAGGAAAAATACACATGCATTTTAGTCTAGATTTTACTTTCAGATGTAACTGGTTGACCATGTTTGCTTTTTGTTCAGTTACTTTAAGTTTCCAATTTGAATTCTTGTTCAGAAACAGATAAGGAAATAGATGAGCATGCATTTTTGTCTTTGTTCTAGACTGTTGATGTAGAATCTCAAATTTATCATCTGTTTATGACACCTCTCTCTTAGTCGAGCTTAATGTGTTTCTAACAGGATACAGTATTTGATCCAGTATCTCTTACTTGTGGTCATATCTTCTGCTGCATGTGTGCGTGCAAAGCTGCATCCGTGACCATAGTGGATGGGTTGAAGGAAGCACATCCTAAAGAAAAATGTCCCATATGCCGAGAGGTGAGTTCTTCATCTTTCAGTCCTTGCCTGGCTGGAATTTTACATGTAAATTTTAATACATCTGAATAATACAAAGTAGGACTTTCACTAAGATGACTGAACCCTCGTATATGGTATAAACCGTGAAAGAGGCTTGGGTTTGTTGTTCCAATAGAGTCCTAATATGTTTGAATGAGTAGTACCAGATCGTCTTTTATATCTTCTCTGAACAAACACTTCATTGTTCCATAATCTTCTATCGATTAATTTCAGGCAGGGGTATATGAAGGTGCTGTACATTTAGAGGAGCTACATGTTCTATTGAACCGAAGGTAACTTATATTCTGATGCCATGTCTGGTAGGGATCACTGTACAACACTGGCAGCTAAAATCTTTTGTATTATACATTATCCAGTCTAGTACTATATACCAAACATATAACAAGTTGTGTGCATACATTTTCATGTATGGTTGGGTACTGTGTAACTCACTCGTGCTATGTTTAAAACAGCTGCCCCGAGTATTGGGTGGAACGTCGCAAAATTGATAAAACGGAGAGAATACAGCAAACGAAGGAGCACTGGGAGTCGCAGTGCCGGCTATTTATGGGTGTTTGAGCAGAAAATGCTGTTTGTTTTTCTTTTTGTATTGAAAAAGGGTGTTTTCTTATGGAGTTCTTGGGACTGGTACATAACTTGTTATGGATTGAAAATCTTTAATGAGGTTTCTTGGTTATGGTTTGAAAATGCACTTTCCATGTATATACTTGTTAATAGTCATAAAGTGCTTTTCTAGTTTATTGACAAGAAAGTAAAAACATTATATATAGGGATTATCTTGTGAAAATTTGGTTGAAGCTTAATGATTGACTATACCAGTATGAATTTAAGCACTAGTGTTCCATTTAATAATCTGCATTAGCTCATAATGCTTACTAGATTAATGAATTATCTATTAATTAAAGCGATTTGAAAATTAATTTGAAAAAATGAATTTTTCTAGTGTGACCTTTGTTTCATTTTTTGTTAAAAATTATAGAAGTGGTATTTTTTTTAATTTTTTTTTTGAATTATTTTTAGCTGTTACAGGTTTCGAAAAAGATTATTTCGATTTGGTTTGACAGTTTTTACTTGCTGCCCTAGTAAATTAATTGGGAATGTTAAAAACATAGTGGAAATGATGATGTTTACAAGAACTTCTAATCAAGTTAAGAGTATATAAAATACAGAGCAAATTTGCTTTAATTTCCAGAAACCTCCTATCATAACTTAAAATTTTCAATTTTTTCCTCTTATTTTATACTTATATATATGATTATTTTTATTGAAATGTATAAATTTTTTTAAGGTATACATTATTTATTTATCGATTGATCTAAAATAATTAAAATAATATTGAAAATTGGATAATGTTTTATTACGTCTAGGATCAAAGCTTGACCTCCTCGTTTTATCAGACCTTGTGCCTTTTAAAACCTTCGATGAAAGAAAATGAAAAGGATGTTCTAAAATTATCGTAGTTCCTTTTTCATAAGAATCTAACTACTACAAAAACAATGAACTCAAGGTAACACAAAATAAATCTGGTGGACAGCCTGTCATTCGTTCCTCCCTCAAAAGAGTGAAAACAAAACGAAGGTGTGAAAATGCCATAACAAAAGTGAGCATCGAAGAACATTTTTACTTCTATACAGATCAAGTTGATCAACCATAGAGAGAAGAAAAATGAAGAATCCATCAATGGGTTCTTATTAAGATTTAAAGATTCCATCCTCAAAAATTAACCTTATTAAGAGTAGTACAAGTTCTTATAAGTTGTTCTATATTTTTCATCTTTATTTGATCGCAGAATAATGACTCATTTGAGTAAACCAATCTTGAAATTATTGCATACTCATTTTTTGAGTCTTAGTCAGATAAATTGCTCGTCGGAGCTTTATTGGCTCTTATACCGGATGACGACCTGAAATTTCATTTTAAAAAGTCAAGCTTAATAAAAGGTGTAATCCAAACTTTTACAAATTGGTCAGTATTTTTCATCTTTATTCGATGTGAAATTTTTTATCCCTTAACCGTTCTTATCTTTGTACATATGATATCGTTTGCATAAATTGATACCCATGAACACCCAAAAACTAAACCGTCAAATGGTAGCTAAAGTCTAAAAAAATTGCCTAATCTTCAACCTTCAAAGGCTCCGGCATCATGCAATAATCAACACCCGAACACTACAGCCTCCATTCGCCGCCTCAAACCCGACCAAACCATCCATTTTCATTTCCTCTAAACGGAACCCCAGCCTCGCCGCCACCAACAGTCGCCAGCAAACTGCCGGCTGCTCCAGTAATCGCCGGCCAAGCCCAACGTCGTTGAGACGTTCCTCGTCGACCAGTCCAGTCGCCGGTTTTGGCAGCCTTCAGTCGCGACTTGTTATAATGAATTATGGGGTTAATTGGGTTATTAATTAAGTGGTTGGGTTCTTAGTTATTGGGTTGGGTTAATTGGATTATTAATTAATTGATTTAATAATTAAGTGGGTTGGGTTATTTGTATTGCTTGGGCTTGGGCTTGTTTAAGGTTTTGAGTGTGATTTAGGCCCAAATTTGTGAAATTGGCTCATTTATTATTTTGTTATTCTGATTTTGTATTATTATTAAAAAAAAAAGTCAAAAAAAAAGAGAGTCAAAAAAAAAAAAAAAAAAAGGTATCGTGGATTTTAAATTTTCTGACATCATTTATAGGTTCATTTTAGTTGACTGTTCAGTACCGCACCTCGACGAGCACGAAATTTTCTATCTTGGCATCTTAGGGCTTAGTAGTTCAGAACGTGGAGACATTCGACGCTGGGACGACTCAAACCAACAGTACTCAGGGAGTTCCTAATCCTATTTATTTTTAGTTAACGCTATTTCTTTATTTTAGAATTGCATCAATTAATTCGTTGTGTGCTGGCCATTTGATAATATTGCCTTCAACCTATTTGATTGTATTTCACGAACTAAATTCCATTGATGTGTACTAGCCCTTTGATAATACTGCCTTAAACCTATTCGATTATATTTCACA